TTTGCAGCGTTGGAATCTACGTCTGAGCTGCGTTTGCAGCGATTTGGAAGCTGCGTCTGGCGGTGATTTGAGCTGCGTTTGGCGGCGATTTGAGCTGCGGTTGGCAGCGATTTGAGCTGCGTCTGGCAGCGATTAGAGCTGCGTCTGGCGGCGATTTGCAGCGATTTGGAAGCTGCGTTTGAGCTGCGTTCGTGGCTATGAACGCGGTGCGTCTTGATGCTGGTGTGCGGGGAGGAGCTGTGTTTGGCAGCAGATGGAAGCTGCGTTTGGCAGTGGATGGAAGCTGCGTTTGCAGCTTTCGGAGGCTGCGTTTGAGCTGCGTTCGTGGCTATGAACGCGGCGCATCTTGATGCTGGTACGCGGGGAGGACTTCCACGTCTTGATTTGAAGAGACCGTCGATTTGTAGTCTCTTTCTGTCGAAGCGTTGCAAAGATCGTCATTTTGTAATCTTTGCTTTAGCTCTCTGATATGTGAGAGTCGTCAGATTGTAACTCCCGATGTTGATTATGAAGGCTGTTTGATTAGAGCTTCCATCAGTTGTCGTGAAGGTCGTCAGATTGTAACCTTTAGCGATCTACGTGAAAGTCTTCAAATTGTAACCTTCTGGAAGTCGTCAGATTGTAACTTCCATCATCGGTGTTTTGATAGGGATCAACTATCTATTGTGATTTTTAGACAGCCTACAACTACATAACGTAGTTCCTATAGACATAGCCACATCTAGGTTCCACTTAAGGACGGTTCAATTTAAATCATGGCAAATAAAAATGTTGCAAAGAATCTTGTAAGATGAAACAAGCACTACTATTTCCAAACAGCTATGATCTAAGAAGTGGGTAACATAAAAGAAGGAATTTCACAACTGATAAAAAAAATGATGGAGCATGTAGTTTGACATGTCAATCATCACAATTAGAAAATGGTAAAATGCCACATTTCTATCTACTATAAAGCTGCACTCAGGAAATTTCTCACAAACATAACTAACTCATTGTTGAGGGTTATTTCTAATTTGAAAGACATTTAGCTACTGTCATGTAAGATATCCTATGACTACTTTCAATGTTTCCAATGCAAATTTTGTAGATTAGCATTTTATATTAGCATGTTAGTAATGTTCTAATTTCTTACATAACATTTAAACTGATTGTGATGGTAGAGTAATGAACATGTCTTTATGACGTACCATTCTGGAAACATGCTCCATTCCACCACTTCCAAAAGAGTGGCCGCATGGTAGGATCATTGCATCATCCATCAGCTCACCACTGAGAAAAACATTTGGCACAAAAGAAGCCAATTAAGCATCATGGAGGTAAGACCTTGGAACGTTATCACTCAAGATAGCAGCTAAATCTAATGCTTTCTCTATGTTGAATTAAGGCTTCATATACATGATCAGGAAAAACTATTAGGAAAAAACATGCATTTTGTTGAGAACATTACACAACCAGTGTAGAGTAGTGATGCTAGTTAAAGAGTCGCTATTAAATAAGAAAGAGAATGGTTAAAGGATACAGTGCTAAAATCTCCCTGCTGTTTCGGAGGAGGATTTCACATTTTTTTATGTGTATAACATGATGTAATAAATAGTTAGGGAAAGGTCACGTGGAAACATGCAAATTTAATCAACAAGAATAAGCATTAGTGCTTGCTTGTGTGCTGATTTTCAGATTATTCGATCTAGAATTATAGCTAACACACAGACATGTTCCTAAAAGACTGGTTATCGGTATTGCAATCATCCTAATAAGCTAACTGATTGCTTTCTGCATAGCCCTCTAATAAGATTTTCATCATCTTAAAACAGATGTTTAGATACTCGAGGTAATAATTTTACTGTACCGAGGCAAAATGAATTCCTCTACAGTTTATATCAAGTAAAGAAGGGTAGGTGTATTGTTTTGTTTATCCATCTTTAAGCCCAAACCTACAAGTACCGGATACAAAGGAGGGAACAGTGGCATTGTATGACAACTGCATGCTCATCAGAGAACTACATAAAGATCTTCAGCATCTAGTCTAGGCATGTTTCGATACAAATTAAACGAGCCAATCAGAGAACTACATAAATTCACAACAAATTAATATTTTCTTAAAATTATAACTATAGTAATTTCTGGGTGAATATGCACTGAACTCCATTCCTTTACCTGATTGTCTGGAAAACTCTATTGAGCACCAATATGAACACAATGTGAGAAAAAGGAGCACAATTTAGTGAAGGAGAGAATACTATCCAAAAATTAATTTGTCCACAATTTTCAATTTGAAAAATATGAGAGTGAGCACAAAATGAATGCATTTCATTTCCCTCCACTTCTCTTTCCCAAATGCTTTCTATTCTATAACGAACCAAACATAGCACAAAATTTCACTAACATTTTTGTAAGCATGAGATAATTCAGCCCAATAAACAGATATGATTTCCAATTCGAGTAAATGCTTGAGCATACACTGAAAGGATTTTTCAAACGTTGAGCCTCATCAATTACAGTATAATGCCAGCAAATTTGACAAAGAAAATCTTGATCCAGTAATGCAATATCATAAGTCGTCAGCAACACATCAAAAGGTAATTCAGGATGTGCCTGTGAAAATTGAAGAAAATAATAAAGATGCGAAATGTATAAGATAGTGGATGGTTCCTCCCAGAAAATGAGCAAGTAAAAAAAATACATAAGAGGTTACAACAAGAATAAAAACAAAATAAAACATATTGAAAGTAGGTAAGAATTTTTTTTCTTGTCCATTGAATCATCACAAAATTAAAATAATTGTAATAAGGACCAAATGGGAATTCAGACTCAAATTGTGTGATAAAATTTCAAATTTGTTTATGAACATGCTCATACATAATCCTTCGAAGACTACAACGATGTCCTTAGTCACCAACATAGCGAATAACATTCAGATTCGGACAAAACTTGGTAAATTCTGATATCTAACCACCAGTAACAATTAAAGGGCACAATACTAACCTGGCAGCAACATGAGCAGTATCAAATCCCCCTAAAAAATTTAGCCTACCACAGATCGAAACACAATATTAATAAATTAATAAATCAAACATAAAAAGAAAAATAAAGAAATACTTACCCAAATAAACAAGCTTCCCACAGTCCCTGCTCAAGTAAAAAAGAAGAGGGAAAAAAAGAACAACCTTTTTCAAATTCCACATCAAAATGCACTAAAAAAATCAACTTTCAAGCTACATTCACACATCAACCATGAAAAGGATCAAGGAATTCTACCTATATAACCCCAAATAAAATATATTTGCAAACGTAGCCTCCAAAATCATATATACCTATTAATTTAGCTCCGAATTCTAACACATTAAACTAAACTACCCCCAAGGTGGTATCTTTCGCATTGTTCTAACTCAACAACGTTAAATTAGGGTTTATACATAAAACTCCAAAAATCAATCTTTTCCAAAAAAAAAATCAAAGAAAAACTGACCAAATGTGAGATTCCCATCTCCCCGTCCTCCGATAGAACGTAACTCCCCGATACTGCGAACTCCTCGATCTCGGCCCATGCCTGTGTAGGATCTGAAATAGATACACTAGAACACTAGAAGAGGGGTGAATAGTGTTCTTTTAAAATATATGCAAAGTAGATTATAAATTGTAAAGAAAATAGCAATCTCAGAAATTCACAATCACAAACACAAAGTTTTATACTGGTTCCACCAACCCGGTGTACATCCAGTCCCCAAGCAAATCCCGCTTGAGATTTCCACTATGATTTTGAATAAACTTACAAAATCAAAAGCAAACCTGACCAATTTGCAAGACCATACAAATTGCAACACCAATTGACAAGACCATGCCAATTGCCACCCAATCTCTAAACCAAGAGATCAACCCTCTCAAACCCGAGAGAAATCCTTTTTGAAGCAAGAACACAATTGATCCTATAAGCCTTGAATGTGTAGTGAAGTGCTGCAGTGGCTTAGGATTCTTTTAACTCTCTGAATATTGCCTATACAATCTCTAAGAATGATTAAAACCAAGGCAATATCAGAAACTCTCTTTTTCTAAACACTTAGCATGAAAATCTGGAAAATTAGAGAGTGAATATGCACAAAATGTTTGATCTTGCAAGTGCAAAACTTAGTAGTTGTTTTCTGATGTTTAAAACTATTTATAGCCTCTGAAATGACATAATTTTAAACCCAATTAACGTCCACAAAACGGCTATAAACAGTCACTTATTTTAAACCTGAAATCTAGAAAAACTGCATCTGTAGTCGACTACAAGTCATAGTAGTCGACTACACTGAGTCTAAACAGACTCTGTGAAGTCAGAAAATTGCTCAGTAGTCGACTATAAGGCATAGTAGTCGACTACACTGTAAACTCAGATTCTGAAATTTTTCTGTTTAGTATTTTGGCTGTAACTTTCTCATCCGATATCGGAATGAGGTGATTTAAGATTTGTTGGAAAGCTCTTGAAGATACTTACAACTTTGGTCTTTTGAGTTTTTCCAGATTCTAATTTCTAAGGGGTGTAAATGAAATGTTTTAAGACTCACTTAATATCTATAAACTCTAATGGCTAACATAGGGGATTTCTATTGTTAACCAACACACTAAGCATATGTTAGTGTGTTCTAACACTATGTGTGTGCATGTGTGTGAGTGATCAAGGCTTGTACAAATTTCTAAGCAAAGAAAATATAAAATTACATTTTGACAATAAAGTATATCTTCTTCTTTGCTTCATTTTGCCTTGAACCCATCTATGTCTTGAGTATCTCTTTAAATATAATTATTGATATAGCTCTGATACTGTAAAATAAATGTTAGCACATAATACACACAAGTGACACAACATATAATATTTGTTATCATCAAAACAAAATAATCTTGGGGTCAAGATTCCTAACAGCCTGCTCCTCTTCATTGCCTGCTGCTGCCTCAAATCACAGCCCATTAAGCTGAGATCCAGGAAAGAAAACGAATAGGAAGAATTTAAAGTCCCAAAAACAATGCTCAAGTCCTCTGGAGACGACAAATTGAGATCAAACACCATTTTTAAAAAAAGAAAAATCGATGGAATAGTCTAAGAATTTCCAAAATCAAAAATCAAAATCAAAATCAAAATTTATAAACTGATCAAGACATACCAGAAATTATTCGAGTGATGGACCAAAAGCGAGGCCTCATCGAGATCGTTGACCCGGATTAGGTTTAGGATCTTGTTGTGGAGGTTGAGTCGTTTGCCGGCGAGGGTGGAGAGGGGTTCGGGGACCTTGGGGGCGTTAGGGTTTATAGGGGTTTTGGAGGGGATGCGCTGCTGTTGAGGCTGGCGGAGGAAGGAGAGGGTTTGGCTTTATTGGTTGGATTTGTGCAAGAGTTTGTCTTTCTTCTACTCGTGATCACAGGTTCGTTGTGAGTTCGTGCAAGGCTTCCGCAAAGGCGCGCGACAAGGAGGCGCAGGGAGGGGATTAGGGTTAGGGTTTTGAGGCGGAAGAAGAGGGAAGAGAAGGATTGTGGATGATGAGGATAATAATAAGCATATTGATGAACATAATAATCATGCCGGAGGAAATTCGTAACAGATGAAACGGTGAAGCTTTACATATTCTGATTTGTGAGTAACGAAAAAAAAAGATAATTTTATCATATTTACAATAGTTGAAGGGCAATTTAGGATAGAGAAAGTTTTTTTAGTACTCCCTCTTTTAAAGGGTAGATAGATAGATTACATTACCAAGCACGCCCCAAGTTGAGCAGAACTAAACTTCTATTTCGGATCATGATCGGCTCTGTTTGACTTGACTAATTAATTAAACCGATCCTTTGCTCTCCCCTACGTACCCGTTAACGCGACTCACTAAATGATAATAATTAAACAATGAATGATTAGCTTGCACACGCGCTAGCTTGAAAAGGGGACTACTGTTTCGTCACTAATCGGTAGGAAGATTGAATCTCAATCAAAAAGATGGAGTGCCCGGCTGCCGTAACAACATTTCCCACAAGTCTGAGTCACATGATCCCCATCCTAGATCATCTACGGAGACTGGGGGGGGGGGGGGCGCGAGCGGCGGCTTGCAAACCCCAACCGCCATGGCAGAATTTCTTCTCTCTTCCATTAATGGGGAATCGCTTGAAGAGTCGGTAAGTGTGTAGACCAGTAAAATTTTGGAGAAAGATATAGTTTGGGGTTAAATTGGTTGGTGACTGACCTAGGACTCATACAACCTGTTTGAAGGAAGTTGCCGAGTTTTGAGAGAGAGAGAGAGAGAGAGAGAGAGAGACCCCTTAAGTTACCAAATATCTCCTGAAAGCGACTCCAAGAAAATTTATGATAGTTTGTACAGCTTGTCGAGATTATTTGTTTAATGCTTGGTGATCCAAGGGAAAATGTATGTACCTTCATCGTTTGTGTTGGTACTTCCGGTGGGATACAGCTCAAGAATTTTGATGGTATTAGATTATGGGTTGGTTGTGGGATGGATCTTAACGCATGTTCTTTGGATGAATTAATGACTTCGGTAAAAGCAAATAATGGATTGGGGTTATCTCTCTGAGAATTAGTCTCATTGTTATCATAACAAATTGTTAGATAAAATGTATGAGTTAAATATAAAATACGAGTAAAACTCCTATCAACTTAAGTGGACGTCCACTAAGTTTCTTATCCATTGATGATTACTTGATTGAGCTACATTATAGATGATCCGCTCCGTTAAACTTGATCTACATATTCTAAAACTCTAACACACCAAATTTGGGGTGAACCCGTCGTTGTTTGACCCTCCGTCGAGCCATGTAAAAAGTTCTATTCATTCGAAACCGTTAAAATTAATACGAGTGGATGAAGGGTCAAACCACAACAGGTTCACCCCAAATTTGGTGTGTTGGGATTTTAGAATATGTAGATCAAGTTTAACGGAGCGGATCATCTATAATGTAGCTCAATCAAGTGATCATCAATGACTAAGAAACTTAGTGGACGTCCACTTAAGTTGATAGGAGTTTTACTCTCTCTCTCTCTCTATATATATATATATATATATATAATTTTACCTTTTTCACATTAATGATGTGTATTAAATTTGTCTATATTTACAATTCTGCCATCGAAATGTAGGCCATTGGATTAGATAGATTGGAGGGTTAGGATTGGTTTTTAGTTCTCTAGGTTTTTATTAGAACCTCTCCCTATATATATATATATATATATATATATATATAGGGAGAGGTTCTAATAAAAACCTAGAGAACTAAAAACCAATCCTAACCCTCCAATCTATCTAATCCAATGGCCTACATTTCGATGGCATGCAGAATTGTAAATATAGACAAATTTAATACACATCATTAATGTGAAAAGGGTAAAATTGTAACAGTTCATTACATTAATGGTGGCTGGCAACATTGGAAACTGAAGATAATGATTAAAACAAAAAATACAACACGTTCTTTAATACTCTCTCTTACTATCAACGTGTCACGTCCTTTCACTTCCCCATTTCTCTCTCTAACTCACTTCCCGCTCTCTGTAACTCACTTCCATCTTCTATCAAGCTTTGATCTTCCATCTTCGCATGAAGAACACAACAACAATTCATTAAAAATGATCCTAACCATCCAAGCTTTCGCTGGAGTGAATCTGGATTCACTCCAGTGAATCTGGATTCACTCCATTGAATCTGGATTATATTGAAGCTCGATTCATTGCAGTGAATCCAAATTCACTGAATTGAATCCAGATTCAGTGAACTGAAACTCGTTATCAAACAATAGCAAATCTGTAAAAATAAAAAACAAAAAGAATAAGAAACTTATGGTAAAAAAAAGCTATAAAATTTTAAACCATGATAAGATTTCACATTTTACAGCAAAAAGTTACGATTTTTATGGTAAAAAACAAACACCTCACATAACTGAATCTGGATTCACTGCAGTGAATCTAGATTCACTCATGCGTTTATTTCTTCGAAATTACAGCACATGCATTTATTTCTTCAACAATTCATTAAAAACCATCCTAACCATCCAAGCATTCACTCCAGTAAATCTGGATTCACTCCATTGAATCTGGATTCACTCCATTGAATCTGGATTCACTCCATTGAATCTGGATTATATTGAAGAATAAGAAACTTATGGTAAAAAACAAGCTATAAAATTTTAAACAAAAAGAATAAGAAACTTATGCTAAAAAACAAGCTATAAAATTTTAAACCATGAAAAGATTTTACCTTTTACAGCAAAAAAATACAATTTTTATGGTAAAAAACAAACACCTCACATACTGAATCTGGATTCACTACTGTGAATCGAGATTCACTGCAGTGAATCTAGATTCACTTATGTGTGTCTTCGTTTTTCAACTGGTTTCTTCAAAAAACAAAAAACTTTTCAGACTAAAAGGTGAAATATTTCACCTTTTACAACAAAAAGCTACGATCTTTAAGGTTAAAACTAAAACTTTTAGACGAAAAATCAAACAAATTTTATAAACTTACCATTAAAGCGTCAAAATAATTTAACAACGACAAAGGTTGAAGACAGTGGTTGAAGATGAAGGTTGAAGACGAAGGTTGAAGAAGACCGTGGATAGGGAGATGTTGAAGACAGAGAGAGAGTTGCTGTGATTTTGGAGAGAGAGAGAGAGAGAGAAGAAGACGAAGGTTGAAGAAGAGAGATGTTGAAGACAGAGAGAGAGTTGCTGTGATTTTGGAGAGAGAGAGAGAGTTGCATGGGGAAATGGAGAACTCAACAGAGAAGCATTAATTACCTCTCTTTAGTGGGCTGTTTATTTTACCTAATTACCCTTATGCAGCTTTAATCTATATATATATATATATATATATTTCCTTTTATTATTAGATCTAGTTGTCCTATTTAGAAATTACCAACTTAATTTGTCTTAATCATTGAGATATTAACCAAATTCTGCCCTCTTTCTTTATTTCAAGAAAGTTCTATTTGCTTTTATGAGCTGAATTGTTGGCAGAAATTGAGCCTTGAAAAATAATTAGCCCTTAAATATAAGTTAGAGAACCAAACTAATCTAAAAACAACATTATTAGTAATTTGTCACAATTTTCTGTTTAAGTTTATTATTCCTTCTTAACCTTTCCATTAATACAAGAGTGTCCTTGCACATGAAATCTCAATATCTCTCCCTTCATTAGTAAATTTAACTCTCATAGCAATCTATGGAAACCACGAGCCCTTCACTGACTTAGTATAAACTGACAACCAGGCAACGATAACATGACTGTCAACATTCTTCCAGTCTTCTAGAATATGTTGGCTAACAAACCTAAGTTGCTCATGCGAGCAATCTCGTGTACCATTCATTATCCTCAGTCGACTTGAGTTTAGTCTAAACCCCAGCCATGAGCTAGCATAATAACATGGTCACTGACATCTTAAATCTTCCATCATGTGTGTACTAAATCAGACCTTAATCTACATGACTTGGTATAATTAAAATGGTAACAAAATGAAATAGCTACCAACATTTTTAGGGGTTTTCACCGTTTGTGAGCCCATCGTATGGACTAACAAGGCATGCTGGTGAGTGATGATGACTGATCTCACGTCAAATATCTCAACATTATTAAGTGAGAGTTACATGTTACATTAATTATGCTCGTTTAGAAGTGATCTGCAAGTCCCGACAATTAAGTGATTTACTATCTTTTTTTTCAAATCTAATTTTTTTAGTGATTAAACTATCATCAATTTCAATATTAGAGAGAACTATCATAAACTATCACATCTACCAGAAAAATCATATATTGTCTTGAAATTGTTCTTGTTGGGGTTGAACAATCGACAACCCTTGCCCTCCGGATCTTGTGACGAATAATTAGCAAGCAAGAAATCACAGCGAATCAAAAACTTACAGGAAAGAATAAATAAAAGAGAGAACACTAGATTTAACGAGGTTCGGCAAATTAATGTGCCTACGTCCTCGGGAGCCACACTAGAAATTCTTTGATTATTAAAGAAGATTACAAAGCTTGCAATAGGTCACACACTCTCTCTCTAAGATCTCTAATCTCAAAGTGCTCTCAAAACTCTCTCTTTCTCGTGTATTACCTCTCAAAAGAACGTCCAAGAAATATATAAAACCCTAACTCAAAACAGATTCCAAACCGAACCAGGAAAATAGTTTGACCCGATATCGGTCGACTGATGGTGCTTCATCAGTCGACTGATAAGGGATTTCTCGGCTGCTTCGTGCACGTTTTTGGTCGACTGGTGGCATCCTACCAGTCAACCGACCAGAGCGATATTTTTCAGCTTCTTTCCTAGAGTCGAGTCGGTCGACTGATCTGCTTCTTCGGTCG